AACATTGTACGCATAATCAGTTCGGCAGCGATCAGTGAGGTTCGCTTCACTGTATTGCGTTGTACGATGATGATGGTGATGATGACTTTGGTAATGTGCATTTTCTGGTGCCACATAATCTCACTACCAGATCGTTTCGAACTGGCACTTTTTCTGTGGGTCATTTGCATAGACTTCAATGCGTTAGGTAATGCGATCTGTATAATTATGTTGACTTCTGGATAAGATTTATCATAAGCATATGAATTGGGTTTCACTGTCCTATGCGTATCCGTTACTCTTGTGTCAAGTCACTCTCACTCCCCGGGCTATTGAAGGAACATATATATTTCACACACGTCTGATGCCAGACTGTGTGCCAAACAAATCGCATCACAATAATTTTTACAAAATGAAAACCGTTCCACGGTTTGCAAGAGGCCGGAATACTACCAGGTTGCCTAGGCCAAGGCAGGTGAATTTTTCTGGGGATTTTTACAAGCGGAGCCCTTGGCTAACCAAAACCTGACCCGCACGGCAGTAGAGTGGTGTGCGAAAACCGCAGTCCATTGGAAGCCGGTGTCCAGTTCATGGGATCAAATGCCTTTCGGACGGGGTCAAACGTCCAAGGTGCGCAATCGAACCACTGACCACTACCACAACCGGAAACGTGTGGGTGTAGTTCGTACGCCTCCTTTTGTTGGTTTGAAGTCCGGGATTTTAGCCAACTTCCCTAGGTGAACTGCCAGTGGTTCACCATCCCGGATATCGGCTCTTTGTCCTATCACTTTCGTGCAAAGTCATCTCCGCCACGAGAAGGCAGTGAACAGAACTTCCTCAGCAGAGACTATTTGAGACGCTTGGATGTATGGGAGGAGTGATCAATCGCAACCCTAGACACCCACCCCATACTGAGGATTTCGGAGGCATGAAGCAACGTAAGCCTCATTTAAGTCTCCGGGACTTGTTTCAATCCAAGCTAACCTCGAAAGAAAAACACAACGATTCTGTGATTGAATTACGTCGTACGAGTCTAATTTCAGTCAACTCAACACTAACACCGATTTGTGGTGGTCGTATAATGGCAGGTTTATGACCAACGGCATTTCACAGGGGAGCACGAGGAAAAAATCGCTCTAGTGATTCTTCGCCGTTGGCTTTCGTTATAATGTCGGAACCCGAGCTGCATGTGATCTGTGTCCATAGGGAAACGGTCATCAAATATTTGATTAACGGTCAGTAAGATGGGTTCTGATGAACTGGATAAGCATCTACGATCAACTAACGTGTGGTACCTGAGAACGTGATGACTGTTCTCTTGGTTAAGCATCATTTCTATAAAACTAAGATTCTTTGATAGCGCATGATCCGCCCCCAATGAGACCACCGTCCGTTTCATCTTTTCGTCAAGGCTTTATGTAAGGGGCCCGTAAACCAAACTGCTGGCCACAATTTCATCTACCAGTTGCCAGTTGATCTAATTGATGACAAAAAGACAATAACCAGGATTGGGTGACGGAATTACAGGGCTGTTCAAATTTATGAAACATGGCTCAGACAATGGAGCTTCATACCTGAAAATGTCTATAGAATTATTTCACTCATCGGACCCTTTTTCAATCTCACAAAAAAGCTTCAAATGATTACTGCAAGCGGCGGCTTCCATCTTGTCTTTTATACACTTTCGTCTGTTTTGCCAAATGAGAGCATCTTCGGTGTGTAGAGTTCTTCATGAATATTCTTTCTTTCACCCCTCCCTCGTCTCACACAGGATCGGCTCTTAAAGGCACAAAAGATTCGGCATCCGTAAAGAAGCGACATCGTCGTGTCAAATCAAATCCCAAAACCAGTACTGCGGATGGCTATGGTTAGTCATTTGTTTGTGACAATACGCACCCCATCTCCATGTATGTATGTTCCTGCCAAGCAACACGTAGGCACCAGTTTATATCCTCCGATGATACTCTCCCTCCGTTCAGCGAATTTCCCACTTGCGGACCTTCCAGTCTGTGTGCAGTGGAAGTCACACGTCTCGGCCCTTCTGTTGTCTCTTTTAGAAACTATGATATATATTTGTGACTTCATACAAAAGAAGCACACAGTTCTACCTATCTCCTTATCGGAATGAACCAGGGGCATTCTGCTGTGCACGCGGAACATAAGCTTTGTATCCTTTTCTAATCTCTTTCATGTGTGACGTCGTCGTGCCATCGTTTTTTCAAGTGATGATTCCTGTACACAAACCGGATTGGCTTAAACTGGCTAATCAGTTTTGTACTTCCTGTCGATACATTTTCGTGCTAAGACGCACATTGCCATCACATTTTCCCCATTCTTTTGGATAGATTCCGAGGGTTACGAATTCCAGTTGATATCAATGGATCGCCAATGGCACTTTGAAGCAACTGGTCCCGAGGAGCGAGATGAATGGGTCATGTACATCGAACGTGCCATTATGACTCGACTGCAGTTGAACGAATCCAATAAGCGCACTCGACCGGGTGTTGGTATGGGGTCCGGGAATTCGTTTGCTGGAAGCGCATCGAATATGGCTGGTGTTGGCAGTCGGTCGACCAGCGACAACAATAGTCTGACCAGTGGTCGATCGGGAGCCGGTGACACCAGTGAAATGGCAGCGACAGAGCAGTTAGTTCAAAGCATCCGTTCAGCTGCAGGCAATGATTTCTGTGCGGATTGTGGAGCACCTGGTAAGGGTAATTTATGCACGTATTTCCACTCTTGTCCGGATATTCTTACAGTTCACTCCAAAGTGCATGCTTCCTCCAAAAGATTCTTTTTTTCCTTGCATTAGGGTGGCAATCTCCACGTTACAACCTGTTACTAAATCTCACAGAGGCGATCGTTGAAGTTTGCTAACCCCTGTTCGAGTAGTTTTCTGAAACTGCTTCTTCCTGATATGATTATTAGTTCAACGGTAGTGCGTTGTTTCGATGTTCATGATTCATCCTGAGTCTTCCAGATTTTGTGAGCGCCATTCCGTACAATTTTCAGTTGAAGAACCTCATTGGTCTTCTGGTTAAATGATCGTCTTTTTCCTTGCTATTGGTTGATTCTCGGACACTAGGTTACCCTCACCCTTTTACCTGTCTCTCTTGTATTACCAGCACAAACATTCTGCAGTAATGCACTATATAGACAGTTACATGTAGTTTTGGAGGCCCCAGATTTCGTCCTGACCTGGATTTGCAATGTTGCGTTTCCCGAACCCGCGATGTCCTGTTGGTTTCGTGCGTGTGTGTGTGTGTGGGTGTGTTGTCCATAGGTGACTGACTGTTCGTTGTGACTGTTTCTGTCCTATGATGCTCTCTCATACGCTTCAGTCTCTGTCTCATTTGGTGCATTCGTTTGTGCTACATCAAATGTATGTGTGGTTGTGTTTTTCGGGACTTGCGCAAACCACCCACCTTTGTGTGCACACTAGCCTATCCATATGTGCGTGTTCGCGATTGTAGATATATTTGTGTTTGCGCTTCCTTCAGTCGCTTTGTTTGCAAACTCGTGTTCTCGCACCCTCCGTACGTTTGGGAGTTTGACCTTTAAGTCGCATGCATGTGTGCGTGTCTCCAGCCAGATGTGCTGTCAGATAAACAGTACCTTGTTTATTTTCTTGCGGTCCACTGTCTATTGATCACTTATGTGCTTTGCAAAATTCCTGTGGTCGTGTCGATAGTGGCTGTGCGCCACCTGATTGGCGGTGACCGACAAGTTTCTGCTTCTCTTCTTGATACATTCGTTGAGGAGCATTCAACCTTTTAGCCTCGCGATAATCAGAAGGAATATATTGTAAAATTTGAAATACTTTTGGAAATCTAAAATCTTTGCAGGCACACCTGCACCAGTTTGGCTATTTGCTCGATCTACTGTGATTGTCTTGCATTGGTAAACTACAATACCCAACGGAATTTGTAAAGACACTGCAACTAATCTCCACTTGTTTATCATTCTGTTTGATGTATTCCCGTTTCGTTCAACCTGTTTGCCTGTTTGAGTGTAGCCAATCATCGTTTTTGTCTTTCAGCAACGAACTAGACGAATGACCAAAAAATGGTGACCGAGCTATTTAGATTTCTGAAAGCAAACTTCTTTCGGTAACCTTTGCTACCACTACTCTTTCTTGAACAATGAAACAAAACAAGTGATTTCATTATGCATATTTTCCAATCTGTTTCAGACCCTGAGTGGGCCAGTCTCAACCTGGGTACGATGGTATGCATCAGTTGCAGTGGTATTCATCGACAGTTGGGCACACATATCTCCCGAATTCGTTCTCTTCATTTGGATGAGTGGTCTTCAGAGTCCGTTGCGGTAATGTGCGCCATTGGAAACACCTTGGCAAACTCTGTTTGGGAGGCTGCGGTGCCGGTAAACGCTGGAAATCGAAAGTGAGTAGAATTGGACTTTGCGACTTTCATCAAAACGAGCCGATGATGTGTTCTGTTTCCATTCCAGCCCACACTCACTATCCCACCCGTTCACGAACTCTCATTGTTGATATTCTTTCTTTTTTCAATAATTTTTGTTTGTAACACTGAACCATTGTAACCACCATCGATTCTGTACAATGTAGCCTCATATCCGTCCTTTTCAAACTTAATATGCTCCACTGCTGTATATCTCTTGGCTTCGTTCGGTACACTGCAGGTTCTCGTCACTCATACGTTCATCCTTGTTTTTCATGTTCCGCAGCGTTTCGTATGTCACACAAAACACCATAACACAATTTGCTGTTTGCACTCAACGAGCTACTGGAGAACAAACGGGTATTTGAGACACGTCACATGCGCACACGTAATGATGCTCTTGGATTCCTCCAGGAAACCGGAATATCCCGAAACTGAAGTGAAACTAAGCCGAAGATTGTGTAGTAAGAAAAAAAATCAAACAACCCAGAGATCGTTAAAATCGGCTAAATATACTGGGTTAATCATTACGACAGGTTCGCCAAAACCTGTCCACCATTGAAACCAATAAGAATGGTTTCGGTTGGTCATTGCGATATTCTAAGGAATATCTTCTTAGTCCCTATTTTTTTATTTGGTAGTGATTGTCTAACTAATAGTGCCTGTGTAAATAACGCTTAAATTCTGCCATATTGGATACCTCGTCTATCAATAATTTTGTTTTTTTATTCCATTCATCCTCATGTTTTACCGATTTATGTCTGCTTGGATAGAAAACCCGAACCGGCTAGCACACGCGAAGAGAAGGAGGCATGGATTCGTGCTAAATACGATCATCAGGAGTTTCTTCCTCCGTTACCGTACCCAGACGCTCCGCTACAACAACAGTTGATCGACGCAATCGCACGTCAGGATACTCGTCAAGTTGTTCTGTGTCTTGCCCTAGCCACACCGGACACTGTTAACGCACCCTATTCGCGCCAAGACCCGCGCGCAGCCATTCACATAGCCGCAACTTTGGGTAACCTGGTTTATCTACAGCTGTTACTCTGGGTAAGTTTGTGACAAGTTGGACAGGTGGTATGTTCTTCGAAAGCATTTGTTGACCCCCCCAAATGTATGCGTATACCCGTGACACGTACCGGGGTTAGGCAATTCATCATCCCTCCCCTGTTTCCAAATTGTGTTGTGGTATATACCACGGAGGGTGGTTCTCTCCATAACGGACATCTGAATCGCGGAATCTCCTCTCAATCAACCATATTCTATCTGTCCTAAAGACAGGTCATTCTTCGTTCTAGAAACGAACTACCGGCTCTGATTTTTAAGACAATCACCGTCAACGATTGCCTCCACCTTGAATTGCTGTATACTTAAACGCGATTCGGTTGCATTCTTGGATTCACAGAGGATAGCTCTGCTGCTTTGTTAATAAACCTTGTAATTAATGTCAGTTACTACTCGTAGATCGCCAATGCTCACATGTGTTCGGGCAATTCCATTCCACACTGAAATTAAGTAAAACTTAACGTTTAACGTGGTCGAATGTCTTCATCTCATGTAATTTTGAGCTATTTACGTGTATTCCCGTAAACAAATTGCCAAGCGGATCGAACAGGTGAATATCGCTTGTTAAGTTGAGAGATAACAACTTTGGGTATCGCTGTCGCTGAATCTGGTCTGTTGGCGAACCTTCAGAATTTATAACCAGGAAGAACACGAAACTCGTGATCAGTTTACACATGACATCACTGTTAACTTCCTCATTCTCCTTCGTCGTATCACAATGTGCCCTCCATGAGCTTTCTTCTGTTAGTAATCACCGACCGACAATAGAGTATGTAATAGCGGTAGACAGAGTAGGCGGTTAGAGTCACTGCTAGCTGCAGAATACTGGGTTCTCTGGGAAAATAAACGTTGTGGTGATCAAGCAGTAAAGGTCACCAAATTGTCACTTCGGATTACATGTGTTCGAATCACACCGCAAACGCGTGACTTTTTCCATTTTCTGTGCTTCGTTTGGCAGCCCTTGATTGGTCACTTTCCTCCTTCTGGAAATCGTATCGTTGTATTTTCCATGAAAAGAAGTTCAGTAGAAATATTTAGGAAAAAAAAAACTCATAAGAGTTTAGTTTGGCCATCGTTAGAAACCATCCGCTCTAAGGGCCCCCTTCGTTTTAAGTGCTCCTTGAAATGTTCATAGTTTGAACATTTATCGTTCAGTTTGCGAAGTTAGCGGTTATGGTCCGGCTGTATGATGTGAACAGTAGTAGTTCTTTTTGTTTTCCATTTCGCCTGTTCGCCGAGCTTGGAAATTTGTTTGCAAACGTTTCATCATCAGGCGGCTGGTGATGAAACGTTTGCAAACAAATTGCCAAGCTCGGCGAACAGGCGAGATGGAGTTCAATTCACCCGAGCGACGAAAACCGATTTTCAATATTTTGTCAGTTCTTTTTGTCTGTCCGCGTATTTGTGTTTTATAACTTCCTCGTTTTCGTTCTGCCGATCTCATTTCGATGCGCATATCTTAGGACTCTTCACAGGATCCGTCGCACATTCTTTTGTGACGCGTTGTTGTGTATTTTTTCATAGCAGATAACCCTCACATCATTTAGTTCTTCCTACACGATTGTTTTTTCAAAATCTAGTTGTTGCCTTTTTACCATTGCAGTATAACGGTGATCCCACAGTAACTGATCATGAGGGTCGAAATGCGTTCTACTATGCTCATTGTTCGCAAAAGTATGATTGTGCTGAATTCTTGTTGCGCAGTGGATGTCCGAAACAGCTGGTTCCACCCAATCCAACTGGGTTATCAGGTGGTCCGTCTGCGCCCGTCGTCCGATCTGCTCATCCTTCTCCTGTGCTTCCTCAACCACCACAGCAACCGTCACCCCACCAAACAGGATCCGCTTTGCAATCGCAACACTCCACTGTTCTGGACGTTCTAGGGTCCGCTCTTCCGGATCCGTTTTTGCAACACACTCATAATAATCCAAATAACAGTGTTAATCAGCCCCATCACTTTTCTCATTTGCAACAACAACAACAACAACAGCAACAACAACAACAGTCTTGTGCTATTCTCAGTCTTCCCTCATCTTTGATCTCAGGCGTCCCAAGCCAAATGAACACGTTCCTGGTCCCGCAGCCCCCATCCCAACAATCTCAACCTTTCGTGAACAGTAAGTATGTCTGATTCCTTTATTATAACCCCATCTCGTATTTGTTTTTCGTGCATATATTAGGAGAATAATTTTCGTTCCAGTGTATTGTACGTCCAGCAAAGCACAAAAGGGTGATCATGTATACGTTTTTGTGCACAAGTCATTTTTATGGTCCAGTAACTGCATCCACTTAATTCTATCATCGTCTTTTCAGTTATCCGAGTATCATCCTCTGTTGATTTGTATCTCTGTGGTGAGTACCGTCAGATGGAACCCTGCTCCATCATCGACAAGACTAATGCATTTCTCTCTAACAAAGCTGTTAATTTTGTCGTGGTAAACTGTCTATTCAGTCCCATTGCATCCTTTGCCTTCAGATGGACCTACATCGACTCTCTCTGGTATGGTGGGGAGCAATTCCACAGGCCTCGTGTACCATGGTTCGGCCAATGCGAATGTGCCCTCCAATAGTGTATCTTACGGTGCATCAGTAAACCAAGCGATCGGAGCAACTTTACCCCGGCGCCGTGCGCCTCCGTTAGCCCCACCTATTCTTCAACCGTTCGCTAGGCCGAACGTGGCATCGTCACAACCTCAACCTCCGATCTCAACCGGAACACATCGCCCACATTCAGGTGCTGTTCTCCCCGATCGTCCAACTGGGAGTTCCACACGGCCTGTGGTGTCCAGCACTCATCATCCACTGCCATCCCACATGCCTCCTGTGCTTGCCCGCCCTGGTCCAAATGTAACATCTAGCGCATCGGGGCCTACCCATCCTCTAGGTCAGAGTAATCAAGAGGTTGGCCTCTAATCAACACCGACTTAATCTTCTTTTTTTACAATAAGTTTGACTTATTTCTTCCCTCGCCAACCGTGACGTGATGAATGTGTTCATACGCATCATGCAGCTGCGCATCTTGCGCACATAAATTCGGGTCTGAATCATTACGCATTTCCCCACGACCTACCTGTTCATTCTTTTTTAATCCCTTTTCTATGCTCTTTTTGCTGTCTATATTGTAACACCATTCGTCTCTGCTTTGATCTGATTTTAATGTGAACGGTCGTGTGCAATAATAGTTCCTGTGTGGGGCCCTATCTCCGTCCGAATTTCCCACTCAATCAGGGTTGTACGGGCCACCGGACTCTATTTCCTTTTCTCATTCCCGTTTATTCTCGCATTTGCCTGACACTGTCTCTCGCGACCCCCTTGAAATCGTTATTCGCCGCTGTACATTCAGTTATTTGCACCTACAGATCTGATCTTATTGCTTCTCTCGGTTAATTTCTGATTCATAGCTCGCCCTTGGCGTCTGGTGCTGGCTGTTCCATCTCCTGTGTCTGATTCTTATCCCTACTCGAAGATGGGTTTCGCTTCGTTGCATTGCATGTCCAGCAACATATATGAAGCTCCTTGTTTCAAATGCAGTTCTACCATTCATCAGACCATTTGTATATAGTATGATATTGTTTTTTAATCTTTGCAGTCACTGCTATTATTATTATTACCACCACCACTACTACTACTGTTCATAAAAGGTTACCAAGCATACCGACACCATTTTTGCAGTTTTATTTTGCTTGTCAGGCTGCTAAACTGTCACGCAATCGATCGTGCTATCACATCTCACATTGTTAACAAAAGTGATTCGCGCCATGAATAGGATTTTTGTGAAGGCATCCAGTCCAGTGGATTTTGGTTGATCCAGAGCTACTGAATGATCCCTGTGCGTAGGTGGGTTCTGTAAATAATAAGGTACACATTTTCGCTGCAGAATACCGTCTGATATGAAAGAATGTTTTGTACAGTTATGCGCGGGGTCTGTATGTGATTGCACAATGTTTGATCGCTGTGTAGCTGACAAACTTGGCAGTGCGTAGACATACTTTGAACTGAAGTGTGTTTATCCATACGATATTTATCCACAGTCGTGCGCAAATTCACTAGTGGAGGAGCAGTAGTCCGTTTGCTTGTAGCGTATATGAATGCGATCTGTTAAATGGATTTTTTTACAGGTAATACATATACTTTGTCCTGAAAGCCATTCGAATAAGAGTAAGCACCGGTAGTGTTGATAGCTTTAAGCCTATCGATGCCGTACCAGACGGCAACGTTCAAACGCATTTTTTTACCCAGACCACGCTCCGTTATATACGATACCGGTAGTGATAAAGGGTTTATGTTTATCGGAACAGATTATTTATCATATTGGATCGTCAGTGATTTGGAGTTATCATGTCAAACTGGAGATGACGCAGGATGTTCATCGATTTTTTAACTATCTCGCTGTGACAACCGGTAGATTAGCGAACTAAACATATCCATAAATCTGAGTGCCTGATGTGAATTTACCAATACTAGGGACAGAAACTGCAGTTAATTGTGGTACGTTCGATGGTAAGCTAAAATACAAATCATGGTTTGAACAGTTTATCCCTTATCCACACTATTCAGTCTCAGCTGGTTTGCGTACGATCAGAGTGAAATTGGTTAAAAGGCGAATCGATAAATGCAGCCAGTTATTTTACCACTCATATTTAATTTTCGCATCAGTTGACAAACTTAGATGGGTCACTTGGCTCAGTAATGCGTGTAGTATTCATCACTGAAAACTCAACAGATCGCATGGCGAGGTATGGGTACCCGGAAATTACGGATTTGAAGCCACTGTTCTTCGTAAACCCAATGAAAAGGTTTTGAGAAAACGAGTCGGTGAATGATCAATTATTTTCGGACATTCCTACTCTTGCTCTTACGTATCATAGTGGAGAAATGCTCACAAAATGATGGTCTTTGGCTATCATTATTTAAGCGTTTTTCCACCATAATGATATGTAAGCGCATCACTGGGAATATCTGGACAAAAGCTTTCATTGGTTTTCAATAACCTGGTTTTTTTCGACCGCTGCTTTTCTAACGAATTTAGTATAACAGAAATCGAGTATCTATAATCGGGTTTGAATCCCCGTTTGTTCTGTATCTGTATGGTGGTTTTATTGCTACTGTGATGGTAAATTTTCACTCGTCTAGGT